TCAAGGACCAGGAGTGGTGGTCCTCGTGCAGGACCGTGGCCCTCAAACACCAGGAGTGGTGGTCCTCGTGCAGGACCGTGGCCCTCAAGGACCGGTTGGAGCTGAAATATCCGGCGTCCTTGTGACGGAGACTAATCCACGACACGTACTGGAATGAACACAAACCTAAAAATTTAAGTTGTTCCTCAGAATGAAAGTCCAAGAAGGAAGAACATTTTTAACTTGCAGAGTATCCCACCGGTTCTGTGACCCACCTTGTTTCTTTACCCTGTATGTACCTCGCAGGTACCAGGCTAATGCATGTGTCGTTTCCAAATAATCTAATTATCGCTCATCATCTTCAGGAGTTTTATTTATTTTTGCTGGGAACATCTTTTCTTCTGCACGTTTTTATTCCAGGAGCACGATTGAAAACTCAAAACCTGAGGAAAATGTTGCTTAATTTCTAAAACGTTCACGTCTCAGAGGCATCGTAACCTCAAAACGTTTTCTGGGTCATTTAAACGATGCATAAAAACAACCGTTCATAAATCGGTGGTTTCTGTCACATGCCAGAGTGGACTGATGCTCACTACGTGCTCGTCAGGGGGAGCGCCTGAACGCTCCTGATGCCTCGCAGCTCAGCTGATCGCTGCAGTTTGCAGCCGAGGGAATAGCTTCATGCTAACAGGATGCTCCATTTGAATGCTCTGCAAATTGCCTGGCCTTTTTATCTTTTGTGTGTGCAACCTCTTTCAAATCCACACTAAGCCCGTGATGCAAACGGGAGAAGTTTTCAAGTGAAGCGCTATTCAATCAACATAAATTCCCTCCACGCTCACAGGTCGGCACGGTTCATCCATAATTCATGCCGCGAGACGCCAAACAGATTGACTTGTCACAACTCAGGCTGCTCCGGACGAGAGCGATGAGCTGTTATCTGTCGAGTCCTGACCAGGAATCAAAACAGGCGGGATTAGTTCATCCAGGCTTCCCGTACAAATTGTTCAAGTGCCTGACCTTTGACCTGTGTTGCCTTCACGTGCGTACCTGACAAACATGAGTGTTTCCGCGGCGGGTTTGTTTGCAGAGCCAAGGATAGAGCAGGAGAATAAAGAGCACGATGATGTGTTGGAACGTGTATAACTCGGAGATTTCTGGCCTGAGCTGATAAAAGAGTGAGTTTACACAAGCTGAAGAAAATGAGCAGGTGTGTACGTAACGTAAAAATCAGTCTGTTAGCGCCATAAATAGTAGATAAACAGCTGTACAGCCATGAAACTATTTGTTTTGGAGGGTGAGGGCCTTTTCATGCAAACTGTTCTAAATGAAAGTTCTTCAGCTTTACAGTCAAATCGCTGGACCTCAGAGATCTTCATGGAGAGAAGAGCTCAAAGTTTAATCAGAAAGTTGTCTCGCATGCAGCCTGATAACCTGAGGGCAACTTCAAGTGTTTCAGCATCAACTTTATGAACAGACACAAGAACAGAAGGTGGAAGCTGAAGCAAAATGAGCGCCCCCTGGTGGCTGGCTGCGGTACAGGTTTTAGCTCCATGTAAACAAATGGAACATTTTTCTGACCAAAAAAAAAAAAAGCGGTTTATTTATTTAGTACCTTGCACAGATCATAAAGTACTTCACAATAAAAGCAAGAAAAAAATCGTGATCACACCAAAATGCATATAAATATTTGTACATATGAAAGCCTGGGAAAGGTCAGGTCAAAAAAACGCTGTTTATAAAAGAATGTCTAGATGTTTTTTAAAGGCATCATCAGACCTTCTGTTAGAAAAGGACACGTAAAGCATGTGACTACATTTAGCAGTGTCTCCTTCTATATGAGCTAAGGAGCTTTAATGGTAGCGGAAATACGTTGCAGTTGGTGCACAGGTCACTGGTTGAAAGTGTTTCATTTAACGTTGTTTCATGGTATGGGACCCTCCTAGGCAGAGACGGGGACGAGCTGTCCCAGGTGGTCAGTAAAATCATTTGTCATCAACAAATGAAGCCTACAGACCCGTACGGTCAGGCTCTGCAACAAAAGACAATCCAGGTTTACAATGAGCCAACTCATGCACTGCAACCATTGTTCAGGTTGGTTACATCTGGCAGAAGAACTGGTTCCTCTGGTAAAGAAAAATGGCTCAAAACGTCATTTGTTCTTCTACTGAGTGTCGTTAATAAGGTCCTATTTAAACATAGCTTCACTGACAAACCGTTGAGATGATTTTAATTTATTTGAGAATTGGTTTTATTGGGTTAGGAAAGCTTTTTAAAGGTTTATGACATTTTTAACTTGTGTTGAGCCAGATGTCAAAGATGAATCTCCATCTCATGAAATGTTATGGACAATAAAGTTATATTGATTGATCGATTGATATCGGCTGTGTAAATATGGGGCGGTGTATTCCAACGTCAGGGTGCAACTTGGAATGACCGATCCCCTTGAGGTGTAAAACGGGTGCTGGTGCCACCAACAACCTCTGACCAGAAGAGCTTAACCTGCGAGACGTGTGTGGAGCTGAACCAGGTCCGAGAAACGAGAAGGAGCTTGTTCACACGAAGCTCTAAACGTTAAAACTAGAATTTTAAAATGATTCTAAAATGAGCTGGGAGCTAAAACCAAGTGATGTGAGCTCGTTTGTTTGAGTTAATCTTGCAGCTGAGATCTGGACGACCTGAAGACGGTCCAGCCCCGTCTTTTTAAAACATGTGAATAAGCTCTTAGTCCAAGTGAGAAGAAATAAAACGTAAATGATCATCTCAAGGTCAGTTTTGGACAAGAACCTTTTCAGCTTTGAGATGTTTCTGAGATGAACGTGACAGTTGGTTGTTTAAAGACATGACAGAATCAAAAATGTCACCAAAGTTTCTGAAGTTAGACTGAAAAACAAAACTAAAACGCTAAACGCACCGTTTGACTTGAGAAATCATATTTTAAGGGGTGATGATCAAAAGTTCAGTCTGATCTGAGTTTTAACTTGATGTTGGATATATTTAACTCCAAATTAGCAGACTGATGCAGATAGGCGAGTAATGTTGGAGAGTGGCAGGTTGAAGGTGCTCAATAGTTTTGGTCCAGGTTGATGTTTGGTGTCTGCAGAAACAGAAGATGACAGGAGGAGGTTTCAGGAGACACGGAGGAGCCGGATTTGAAGGGTACAAAAAATATCAAAGGTTAGTCCGTATTTCACAAGAAAGAGTTTGTGGTTGTCACTGAAGTCAGCAGAGTTTCATAACGTTCCAGCGTCGGATGAATGACTGCCACGAGTTTAAATACGCAACAAGATCAAGTGCAGGTGTGGAGAAGATGATATGGCTGGAAACCTAGGAATCACAAGTTCAGTTGCAAGTAGTTGTCATTTAATCACTGCTTAATGTTAGTCGAGCAGTTTATTCTATTTGTTCAGTTTATTCTATTTGATTGTTCAGTTTATTCTATTTGTTCAGTTTATTCTATTTGATTGTTCAGTTTATTCTATTTGGTTCTAGAACTGTGCCACTCAAGGTGGCTGCATGTTGAAGTAGCTCTGTTACTTTCATTCTGGGATGTCGCTTTAGAAAACATTAATTCCTCTTTTTTTCTGGGTATAAATCGCTTTTTTGTGTCAGGGTTTCTGACATGGCAGGGCAAGAGTCAGGACTGCAGGATTTTCAAAAATAAATAATCTTTAATAATGATAACTCAAAAGGCCGACGTGGCA